CAAACATGAGGAGTCAAAACTTGAAATTTAACCCAAAGTAAGGAAGTTGACAAACACATTGTATCTTTTTAAATTTTAGAACAGTGAGAAGGGAGAAATATATAAGTAAAACTAGATTGGCTAAGGTTTTGACATTGACATGCGTCAGAAGAAAACTGGCCCGTGGGAGCATCTCATAACTTATGCAGAAACCAAAAGCTCGGAGAAGAATGCGGAGATCTACTGAACTCGAGGGTAAATTTTGACAATGAATTGTAGTTAACAGCAAATTTACCTTCAACTCCTCATTGGCTGATATCTTTCATAAAAGTTTCGCCATCCAGCCTCGAAGTAAAAAGACAAACAGAACAAGTCTAATAATTTTAGGCCATATGCCATCTCTTCCAAAATGGTTTTTTGCCAGTCAAAAATCTTCCTGGTGCGCCAAAGCTTCTTCTATTTAAGTGTGATCTCGTAGATGACTCCTTGAAGATTTCCAACCACAGATCGAGTTCCAGCTACTTCAGTCATCTGCATCCCGTGCCGAGAAGCTTCATCGAGTATCAGTGCATCCATGCTACAAAGGAAATGAATGAAAACAACTTTTAGTAAATAAGACATTTGTGCATTTGTGGTGGTAGTCTCCTCTTATCGACTATATCACTAAAGAACATTGCTTGAGGTAGTAATCTAAAGAACACCACAATTGCGTGGTTCAGGAAAAAAAAAAAAAAGTGTGAAACTGCCAAGTGACGAAAATAACAAGTGATCATCAAATGGTGTTGTTCTGTGTGTGTATGTTTTGCACATCATGTCTGATGCTAGATGCTTAAAACCAGGTAGATGAAAAAAAAAAAAATACAAAAGATGGGGGCGGGCAGGGTAGAGGAACTGGACTGCGGAAGGAAAGAAGTATGAAGCTGAAGCTAAATTTAGATGTCTACTTTGAACACTGACATTCAATGCACAATTTTCAATTGGCAGCAATAAGCCAGTGGTCCTTGCTAAAACTTCTCAGAACCTTTTGGAAATCCAATATCAATTCATATTGTGGTCTTTATCACAAAGCAGCCCATCTATGTATAGATGCAGAGTGACTAATCAGTATAGTGGTTAAGGAATGGAACATTCCTATGTCTACCCTTATCAACAAAGTACGATTAGAGAGGTTTCTTGAGAAGCTGGAAACAAAATAATAGTACAAAGCCAAAGAGTTACTCACATCTTAGCTCGGGATACGTATGCTAGAATGAATTTGCATTTTCCTCTTCCTCTTACTTGGAGGAGCCGTTCTGCTGTTTCGAAAAGCAAGGGTACACTTGATTGTTGAAAGCTTAATAACTGTTAAGGTTCTTCATAGATGAAAATGCAACATTTCCTGTAAATACAAGCTATACAAACATATTTACATGCTCGTGGTTTCATTCTTGCCTAAAACCGTGGGAGGAACAAAGCTAATGCTGCTTTATTCTGATATTCTTTCTATTTGGTAGAAGGTATGAATTAGAGACAGGGTAAAAGAAAATGATTGAAACCAAGCAGCTAGAGTTTTGCTCGCCTTTCTCCTGCCATTATATATCTGCATGGAAATTCTCAACCCTGATAAAATCTTTAATACAAAAAATAGAAAATGAAAGAAAGAAAAGCTACCTTAAGTAAAAGGATTAAAAATTTATTAAAATGTTAAAATAGAAGAAGAAGAAAACAAAGGAAAAGAAAACAAACAATCCTGCCTTTCAAAGACTTTCTACCCCTATGTGCCAAACCAATTATCGACCTAATGTGGCAGCCGCAGGCATTAGCTAATATATGGATTTGAAATGTGAAGTATTAAATACCAATATACTGAATAGACCCGAACTCGTGACTTACATAAGAAGTCTGATTAAGTGATAGAACATTTGGTCAAGGTATAACATATGTTCCTAAGAATAACCAATCATATAAAGAGGAAAAAAATGAGGATGAATCAATCATAATATCATATCATATCAGTATTTCTACCACCTAGGAGAAGATTATACCGTCACATTCTATATTTTACCAATTAGCAAAAGGAGGAATTTTTGGTGAGTTTTAAAACCTTAGGCTCATTCCATATCTCTGCTGTTCAACACCAAAACTGATTTTGTCATTTTAACATTTCTTGAGCAAAACGAAGAAGAAAGAGTCAGGATATAGATATCAGCACCAAGAATTAGATCAAATCCACCAGAATACTTGTCTATAACTTGGGTTATCTGATCAGAATTTCCCCATTCAAGCTTCTCAGCCACTAGTCCTGCATAGAATCGTAAATATCATATCAGCACATCCAAACAAATAACTTATTTTCCATCTTGTTTCTCTCACCAGCAGAATTTCCGAACGATTCAGGAGATGCATGAAGCTGTATATTTTGCTTCAGGATCTGTGATATAATAATATAAACGAGGTCATGAAACAATAAATAGAGAACAACCACTTGGTATATACATATTTTTAGTTTATTCAGATTAGTTTAGTGACCTCACCTTTAGAACTTCCTCGTTATGGTCTGTCAACACCACGTTGTGGCAAAATTTGCTGCAAAGTATTCCAGTGATACCTGTATTTAAAACAATTGCCCATATCATAGCAGAATTTCATCATTGGGCATTATATGGAACATAGCGACATAATGCAAAAACTTCTATTGGATAAGTCTATTCTCTTTCTGCCTTCCACTTGATAAGTCTATCCAGTAAGTATAACCATATTAAACATCTCAATCTATGATTTACATGCGCAAACTACGCAAAGTATCTCTGCTATAGAAGTCACAAGGGGAAGAAATCAAATTCAGTCAAAGTATACATACCCACACCAGATCCTAATTCAATGATAGAACATCCTTGAAGCAGGTGAGCATGTTTGGAAAGATAATTGTTCATCAGCAAGGCACCAGGCCACACTAATTGCCCCGTTAAATCAAAATCAGCTGTTTCAAGAATTGTTAGTTCAGCAACATTTCCAGGGAATCATGTAACTTGATGTGCTCATATTGAGGGAAAAAAGAACAGGATTATCTCAATGAAAATAAATTAAACATTAATATATCATGAATATATTGATTCTAACCTCAAATTTTTAGAAGGTTGAAACATCAAATCTTTACAAGGTTGAGATACACAGAGAAATTCAAGAAACGTATCATTTAAACTCATCAGAGACATTTGAGGTCACATTTTAGCAAATAAGAAATGAATCAAATTAACATCATCGACAAAAATCACAATGGGGATTCTATTATCCAAGCAATACATGTGACAGAAAGATTCCTCCTAACCCCAGTCTAAGAAAATTACTAAGTATTCGCCAATTAGCATTAACAAACAGAGAGAGTGGATACAGAAAGCCTTAGCAAGGCAACTCCAACGAGAAACTCACCAGAATTTTAAAAAATATTTCAAATACCTAATATAAGCCTGAAATTCAAGTCTATTAACACCTGAATTTTCAAATATCCAATATTAACTTTCACAGGTTCGTTATTTTTATTGTAATATCGATCAATTTTATCATTTGAATAAGTCTAAACCTTAAAACTTACAGAAAAACCGAGCTAATAACATTGATCACTCTTAGACGATCGTAGTCTGGTGCATTTGCGAGCACAAATTGGCATCTTGGTGCCAACAATTACTTTATAGCTTCCTTCAATTAATGTTTGTTAATATCATCCAAATTCAGGAGCGAATAACAACATCCCTAAACTTATCGGATTGGCATAAAGCAAATTACGCACATCGTTTCATTTGACATCGAAACTAACAAGGTATGGCAATGTACAGGGAAGTGAATCCAAAAGGAAACAATGTCGAAAATCCTCCAGTAATCCGAGACAATACTGGTAAATAGTATTTTAACGATGCAATCATGTAAAATGGAACATACTCCTCAAATCGCAGAAGTTGAAAAGGCAAACTCACTAGAAGCAGACTGAAGACAGAGGAGTTCAATCTCATGGGATCCGAATGCAAACGTGGTGAGCTGATAGCTGCATATTCGTATACCAGACACCATAAGATTCTGGCAGAAAGAAACAACAAAAAAAAAAAAGAAAAAGGAAACGGCATTGATAAAGAGAGAATTACTCATTGTTCATAAAGAATGAGGCATCTAAACAAACGATGTCCTCTTCTTCCTCTTCTCTTTCCATCTATCGCTACCTCTGCAAAAGCTTCGACACTCAGACACTCCGCGCTGCAGGTCTGGAGTTGGGTTAAAGCTCAAGCGCGCGCACACAAAATGGTCCGCCTGGCTTGAATGAGAGAAAAAGCTGGCAAATTGCTCGCCGACTTCGAAACTACGAACTTTATCAAAATTAATTTACTTCAAATGATATTTTGTTGAAATTTTTTTATATGAACTCGTAGTAATGATGCATGCTTTCATCGTTTTTTTCAACAGGATTGGTATTATAGTTTTACCTAATTGTATATGCCCAACAAGATCACAAACCCTAATACTTGATAGTTTATGGTCTTCCGTGAATAATTCAGTTGTCAAATTGCACTTAGGGTCGTAGCAGGAACATAACATTTTTCATAAGGGTGTGGAAACCTCTCCCTAGTAGATGCATTTTAAAACCGTGAGACTGACGACGATACACAACGGGCTAAGATGAACAATATCCGTTTGTGGTGGATTCGAGCCGTTACAAATGGTATCAAAGTCAATCACCGTATGGTGCGATATACTAGTCGGTGTATGACTAGACTCTCTCCATAGTAAAGAAAAAAACTGACAATATCCATCACATTGTTTATTGAGCCAGACATGATGAAAAATGATATAACCACGCCATTCCATATGCCTTAAAGAGTAGATGTGAAATGTCACGTTCCTGAACTTGGAACTATTTGAGGGTTGCTGTATTGTCGGTATCACAACTTACTCTCTTTTTTAATATTAATGTAATACGAGACACGTAAGGTAAAGATCGAAATCGAAAGATATAATTAATATTGATATGGAAATGAATTTTTTTTTTCGAAGAGAGGAAGCTTAAGAGAATGAAGAAGTGACCAACTTCCAACTGACAACAACCTACCACCTCTCCTTCCCCAGAACAGAAGAAACCACAATTTATTGATACTGACCTAAATTCTGCGATGGAAAAGAGAGAGAAAATATATGCAAATTTCCGCATTTACGACGTCCACCAACCCAACAAACACAGGCAAATTTCAATTTCATTTTTGTTCGCAACGCGGTTTGTTGCTCTTCAATTTCATCGCATCGGTTACCATTTCATCATCTCTACCGCGCTGAAGTGTTCCTTTCCTGATTTCCCGCTTTAGGTTCGATTCTTTTCTTCTCTCCTCTTTCCTTTTTGCCTTTTTTTGTTTAGGTTTTTTGGAATTTTTTTCTGGAATTTCTGTTGCTCGTGTTTGGCTGTCCAAAAAGTGTAGGTATTATAGAAGTCATTGATATTGTTACCATTCGCTGTTTCTATGGTGTTCATAAATTATACAATCTGTACGCTAATTGGTTCGTGTGAAGGAGTTGGCTTGATTTTGTAATTTAGTTTTTCTCTTTTGAAAAAATGGGTTATGATCATCGCCTGCGAGTTTTCTCTAATCCTGAATTGCGATCGCTTCTATTAGTTTTTTTGAACATGCTTGTTACGGAAGATTGTTGAAATTCAGTTGTTAAATTGGATATAGTTCTCCTATTACTTACTTTGAGCCCTCAGTTTTCTATCATATGCCATCTCCTTGATGCTGTGCTGAATTTTACACACAATGTTAGAACTTGTGGATGGATTGTTGAAACCTCCCTTTTAATCTTTGATTTGTAGGGGGCCAATGAAACTTAACTTTCCTTATATGGGGAAGTCGTGAGATGTCCTTGTAAAGGTGTATTTCAAGAAAACATATGGTGTCATTTGCTTAATGTAACAACGCTAGTAGATATTGTCCTCTTTGGGCTTTTCCTTTCGGGCTTCCCCTCAAGGTTTTTAAAATACGTCCTTTTCCTTTCGGGCTTCCCCTCAAGGTTTTTAAAATACGTCCGATAGGGAGAAGTTTTCACACCCTTATAAAGAATGCTTCGTTCCCCTCCCCAACCGATGTGGGATCCATCCCCTTTGGGGCCTAGTGTCCTCATTGACACTCTTTCCCTTCTCCAATCCATGTGGGACCCCCCAATCCACCCCCCTTCACGGCCCAGCGTCCTAGCTGGCACATCGTCTCGTGTCCACCCTCTTTCGGGGCCCAGCCTCCTCGCTGGCACATTGCCCCATGTCTGGCTCTGATACCAATTGTAACAGTCTAAGTCCTCCGTTAGCTGATATTGTTCTCTTTAGGCTTTCTCTTTTGGGTTTCCTCTCAAGGTTCTTAAAATGCGTCTATTAGGGAGAGGTTGCCACACCCTTATAAAAAATGCTTCATTCTCCTCCCCAACCAACGTGGGATCTCACACTTACATTGGAAGATGGAATCTATATATACATGTGGTGGACATGTATGCATTGGAGATTTTTTGATGGCAAGAAGAATATTTCTTTATCAGTTACATGCAAGATCAGTGCGCTCTTGCCATTCCATTCTTGAGTGAGCTCAGTGTACAAAACATCTAGGGAATAGTTGCTTGTCTTGATTGGTATATTTGTGAATGAGAGGTGTTTGTTCAGTGCAACCTTGAGATTAGTATTGGAGGATTGTGCATTTAAGAATTTAATATTGACGTGCAATGGAAGAACTATGAAAGAGGAATTTTTGGACTTCTATTAGAAAAATAAAGCTCATTACAGAATTTGTAGCTTCTCATTATCTGTTTTATTTAATGTGGTGATGGTGTATTTAAACGGTGTAGATACAAAATTACTAGAAGTTGTTTTAACTATGACGAGTAAGATCAATGAATTTTTTGGATAACTGGGAGTTTGAGCTTTGCTCACCTTGAGGTACCTGTGACCGCCCCAGAGCCTGGACCTGAAGATATCAAGGTAATAGCCCAAGTCCACCTCTAGCAGATATTGTCCTCTTTAGGCTTTCCCGTTTGGGCTTCCCCTCAAGGTTTTTAAAACGCATATGCTAGGAAGAGGGTTCCAACCCTTATAAAGAATGCTTCGTTCTTCTCTTCAACCGATGTAAGATCTCACATCAAGGGTTTTTGGTATTAAGCCCACCCGAAGGTTTGAACTTGGTACCTCTAAGCTGGTATGATTAAGAGACCCCAAAAGCCCTTGTCATCAATTTGCAGATGATTTAGTACAAACGTGCATATTATCTTATGTTGGAGCCCCTGCCCTGTTGCTTGGGAGAGCTATTTGCATCTAAATTTATCAATTGGAAGTTGAGACTCTCTTTCTTAATTGGCATGTGGTGAATGCACGAATAGGTCATCCATTGTATGAAATTTCATTATATATTGATCTTCTTTACATATATATGAGAGACTAAAAGAATAAATTTAATAATTGCTTGCTTCTTCAATCAAATAATATCACACCAGTTGATAGAAGCAATTAGAAAAATAGATTTAACTAGTCTATTATTAAGGTTTCATCTGTTATTTGTTCTTCTGCAAGTAAGATAGCTATATCACTCTAGACGTGGCAGAAACTTAGTTGGTTTATTTCTCAAACTCAGTTCTGGTTTTTGCTTCTGCCTCCACAATGTCGAGTTTGGAGGAGCCACTTGGTCTTGACAAGTTGCCAAGCATGAGCACAATTGACCGGCTACAAAGATTTTCATCTGGTGCCTGCCGACCAATAGGAGATGACATGGGAATGGGTATCTGCTGGATTCAAGGGGGGAGAAGCAGCTCATCCAATACTTGCAAGTAAGCAGAATATTAAAGTCTTTTGGAAGAAAACCGAACTTTTCTTAATTTTTTCAGCTTGCTTTTGCACATTTTGGTTCTGCGATTCTTGATGGTATGGGATGGTTCTATGACAGAAGACCACCTTGCAAACAATCTGGGCGCATTGTTCTTTCAGTTATTTCTTACTAAATTGTCATTTTTGCAATCCGCTCGGCCACACTTATCTCCAATATGACATATCATCCTCAGGGAATATGATGAGGATGCTAGAGAGACGTTTCCGTGGAGAAGACATAGGAAAGACACATCCCAAAATGGCTCCGTCAATAGGAGGACATCGAGCGCAGGCCTGGAAAAAATAGTGTCTGGAAATTTTTGTGATTCACATTGTTCTCCAGGTCATGAATACAAGACTAAGAGTAGTAGCAACAACATACAGCATACTACAAATAAGGTGATTTGATACTCATTAGACCTGATATCTGTAACGACTCTCTTTGTTTTACCCGCATCCATGCATTTCTATATCCTTCTAGTTGCTTTTCTTGCTATACCTCGTACCTATCATATTCTAGATGTTTTGCAAACTTTTATCAGATGATTTGGTGGGCTATGGAATCTCTCTTTAGAATGTGACCTTTTCATACTTATTTCGGACACGGGCTTGCAGTTTTTGAAAGATATACCAAAGTTTGTGAAGATAGTAGAAGTTGGTCCAAGGGATGGGCTTCAAAATGAGAAGGGTATGGTACCTACATCTGTGAAGGTGGAATTGATCCATAGACTAGTATCTTCAGGATTGCCTGTTGTTGAGGCTACCAGTTTTGTATCACCTACACGGGTGCCTCAGGTACTTTTGGTTTAAGTTCCTATCTTTTTTAGCCATAGTTTTAAAATGATATTAAAAATAGTCGTTTGAATCTCTTTTGAGTTCATTAAAGTATATACTCAGTCTTCTTTCTACTTTAGTGGTCTTGCCTTTACTGTTTACATCGCTTGATTGCTACAAGACGAACTAATGTTGCTGTGGATTTGAAATAAGTTCTTTAAAACTTCTCATCATTTAGGATTTCTAAATTCTGATATCATCTGATTAGGATTAGAGTGGGAGTTGAACCTTTTCTCGCAATAGTTTGATCAAATGAAAACATAGTTCATTTCTTAGATTTTTACCATACTTCATGTCACTGGTGCTCCAATATGTGAGTTACGTAAAGTATATATTTTTTTTTATCCTTTGTCCAGTTATCTGATGCAGCCGAAGTGATGGAAGCCGTTCGTAATTTGGAAGGTGTTAGGTTGCCAGTTTTAACTCCTAATTTGAAAGTGGGTCATCTTGTAAAATAATGTTGATTTTTTTTTTTTTTTTTTTTTTTTTTTTTTTTTTTTTTTTTTTAAA